TATTGTTTTAGTACATTTTTAACTTCCCGTAGGGTAAGTTTTAGTAATCACAAGAAAATCGAATGAATGAATGAATGATTTTTTTTAAATATCTTTACGTTTTAAAGGTTTCTGAACATTTTGGCATATCTTGGAAAAATGTATGTATGTGTGTGTGCGTGTATGTATATGCAGATACAATTTTTTGTCGACAATTTTGAGACAGGTCCGGTTCAGCCGTTTCGAAGATACTGGACAAAAAATTGTTATTATATTTGGAGAGAACGGAGCGTCCGATTTGAATGCTTCATGAACTGATCAAATTCTTGCAAAGGCAGATTCAGCGGTTTCGGAGATCCAACGAAAAAATTAGAAAAAGGATATATAATATATTTGAATTAAAATTAAAATAATTATCATTATGGAAATTTTAATAACCGTTAACTGCTACGTGGTGCTTACGCGCTTCGATTTTTCGTCTCTAAAACGGCTATGCCGTGCTAGTGCTTCAAAAAATTCCAATTATTAAAAAAAACTAGTGGAGCGCATGGCATCGTGCCTTAAGGCAAATTGCTGGAACTTCCCGTACAAACAATTAATTTTTTTTCCAAAAATATTAACATTTTTAAAAAAATTTTACTCTGACAAAATTAGATTTTGAGAAACTATAAATTTTTGACAAAAATTTACTTTTTTTGAAAAAAAAAAGACTTTTTGAAGAAAAATTCATTTTGAAATATTTTGGAAATTCTGAACATTTTTTCAAAGCAATCGTACTGCCAAATTTTCGAAAAATTTCAAAATTCAAAAAACCAAAGTTCAATTTTTTCAAAATTCTCAATAAACTATAAGTAAATCTAAGTTTCACGTTTTCAAAAATTTTAAATTACGTTATAGGAAGTTTCAACAATTTGCTAAGGCATGTTGCCATGCACTTCTAGTTTAATATTAAATGTTGCAGAATATTTAATTGAAAATATAGATCAGTAAATATATTTTTAGGTGTAGATAGACCTCAGGCATTGCTGCACAAAAAGAAAGTGAATAAGTGAATATTAAAATGAATATAATAGTGGTCCTGAGCACTATTCACCATGAATCAGGATCAGGCTAGGATGGAATCAGGATGGAAATTAAAACAATGTATGTGAAAATTCAGCCAATCAATACTTCAATGAAGAGGTATGTAATAGTATAAGCTTTAAAAATAAAGTGCATGAAAATAAAAAAAAATTTATAAAAGGCGATTTTTATCAATTTTTGTCTATGTACACGACTAGTTCATCGTTAATCGTTTTTCTGGAACATGTGTGGTTATTTCGAAAGTCGAGTTTAAGTTTTCAACACGTACGGCGCGTTATCGCGGACGAGATTTTTCAATGTGAGATTTTTCGATGCATCTTCTCCCCAGCAGCCCTGTCTTTTTTTTTCACCATACGTATGTGTTGCTTTTTTTCGAACGGATTCGATCTGTGATTGCTTAATTTTTATGTGAGAGTGACATCTATAACACGAAATAAATCCAATGTCAATATTAAACCTCGGTTATTATGATCTAGAGGTGTTTTTTTATAGTAGCATATTTAAATGAGGAGCACCCTAACTTGAGGATGGATGCGTTGTTTTAGTATGGTTTTACGGAAGCACCAAAATAGGTAAAAGAACATATTTGGATACATATGAAATCAGCATATGAATATTTGATTAACAGAACTTAGCACACTGATTACATGTGTATGTATTTGAACGAGTAAATGATCAAAAAATGACTTTAGTATCGATTGAAATAATTCTAAGGATTAAATATAAGGTTGTCAAATATCTCCCTTCCGCCGTTTTGTATTATAAACCAAGAGCAAAAAAGCGGAAGGGAGATATTTGACAACCTAATAACATCTCTCTAACTAGGTGTATGCACTAGGTGTAAGTGCATAAGGTGTAAAAACTTATTGATATATGTATAGAATCGACTTAATCTATAAGAATTAATATTAATCATACACGGTGTAGGTCCTGTTTTAGGTCCACTATAACAAACTTTAATGAATTTTTATACTTAATTCACTATTCGTAGGCTTATAACATTTTAGAATGCTTTTTTTAAATATAGTAATTTCTACATCTGTCCTGGAATAGTATAACAAATAACACTGTAGAAATAAAAAAAGACTCTAAAAATACAAAATCTTCTGACTATTGTCAGAGATTTCGTAAAATTGACATATGGTAATGTAGCATGAATTTCTTTTTCAATTTGTTCTTGTAGTGTTGTGGGTTTGGATGATCCTTGAGGCGGCTTTTGTAATTGTTTGAATGTGGCTCTATTTATTATAAAATTATTGTCTTGCTTTAAATGTTTTTAAATTTTCAAAGTCGGTTCAGGACTTTTAGCTAAAGCGTGCATGAAAAAAATTGGCACTTATTTACTAATTATAGAAAAACGGCTCGGCCGATCGTCTCGAAAAACAAATCTACGAGAGTATTTATCGAGTTTCATCAAATGACCTTAATTTTTGACCAAAAAAATATATTAGTACCCCAAAGATCTTTCAACTCAGTCTCCGAACGTGTTAAGTCAACGCAAATGAATATTAATATTTTTCAGGCGTGATTTATTATTTCATCAAAATATTTTGTCTTTGATAAAATTCAAATTGCCATTTTCGAAATATTATTTATATTATTGCTATTATAATTTTATCATGAGCTCTGTAACCCATAGAGAGAGAGAGTGCCATTTGATTCTACAATTATATAATTTTGTTTTACATCACAAGCTGAAAATTAAAATTAAGTTGAGTTATTATTAAATATTATAGATTTTAATGATATGACCTATTTGACTGGGTATCTCATAAGAAAATAAAAAAAACAGTCGTCCAGTACAAACCAAGTCTGACGATTACAACAAACTTATTGCTATTTTTAATAATTAGAATAATTACAAACATTATAATATATTTACTAATCCTAAAAATAAAATATACTAAAAATAGCTGCTTATAGCTTATTCCATATTTAAGTAACATTAATACAAAAATGATGATAAATACAAAAATGTAATTTTTAACTTCCCGTAGGGCAAGTTATAGTAATCGCAAAAAAATCAAAAATGAAAATTTTTATATATCTTTACGTTTCAGAGGTTTCTGAACATTTTGGCATACCTTAGAAAAAAATGGATATATGTGTGTGTGTGTGTGTATGTATGTACGTGTGTGTATGTATGTGCGGATACAAATTTTTGTCGACGATTTCGGGAACACGGATCAACCGATTTGAATAATTCATACAACATTCGATTTGTATTGATAAGTAGACGTGCTGATTAGTTTTTGGCGAAGGCAGGTCTAGCCGTTCCGAAGATACGGGGCAAAAAGTGCCGAAAACGGTAACTCAGTTTTTAAGAGAACGGAGCGTCCGATTTGAATAATTCAAAAACATTTCACTTGTATTGACAAGATGAAGAATCTATAAAATTTTTATGAAGGTAGGTTTAGCGGTTTCGGAGATATGGAGAAAAAAGTAAAAAAAATGAGCCATTAGGCGGTCAAAAATGATCATTAGACATATGCACATCAAATTATCAGATATTTTATAGAGATTTTAACAATAAGTATACATTTTGTTAACATTCCTATGGGTTCCGTACCAATGCTTATGCGTTAGACAGCGACGCGGCGCTTACGCGCTTTATATTTTGTCCCTATGCAGATAAAGCAGTACGATTGCTTTGAAAAAAAAAAGTTCAGATCTTCCACAATATGTCAAAATAAAGAAAAAAAAAATTTTTTTCAAAAAAAAAAATTAAAAAAAAATTTTTTTTTTCAAAAAAAAAGTAATTTTAAAGTAAGTAAGTATAGTTTCTCAAAAATCTTAATTTTTCAAAGTAAATTTTTTTCAAAAATGTTAATCGTTTTTAAAAAAATAATAATTTTTGGTACGGGAAGTTCCAGCAATTTGCCTAAAGGCACGATGCCTTAATTACCTTAAGACAGAATTCCACTTACAGCTAGTTACATTATTCGTTAAGTAGTATTAAAATATAATTATTAGAAGTATACATTTATTTCGCATAGTATTCTACTATAATTAACTATTTTAATAGAAAAATGATTGACAAGTTTAAATTCTCCTTCAGTGGGTTGTTTTCCACATGCTCCAACTTTCATAAAAGTGCTCAGGTGTGTTAATCGCCACTACAAACACTAATTTGTCGTTCGTCTTTCGTAGATCACGGAGCACGATCTCCGTTAATTTTCCGCCGTTGATGCGCCTTAAATGGTTATAATGCATTGCGTAACATATTATTATAATCAGCTCGAAAAGGGTAGGCGTGACTTAATACTTACACTTTTAATGTAGATGAAATAAAACATAACCAAAATGAAGTGATCCCGTACGAAAAAAGGATACGCATCCAGCTCATTATATCTGTCCCTGTTTTACCCACGTGCATCTGACTCTCATTATGTGAGCTGGGTTATGACAACCATGCGTCTACGCACTTTACACAAACATAAATATCATTAGGATTATCCTTCGCTTTATGATGAAGTTATCAGTATCTCTGCGACAGGGAAAAGATGCACATGACCCAAATATTGTGCAAGTGAAATATTAGTGTACTTTTAACAGTGAGTGATTTTATAAGATAGAACAATGTACGTGGATTTTTTAACTGGTATGTGCCTCCAAGAGGATAACCAGCAAAACTTGCAGCCTTTGCCCGGTTTCAACCAATTTACTGACCGGTACAATTGCGCGCCCTTAGACCATTACAATATACCGCTCGAACAATTAACCCCCATGTCGCCGCCTGTCGATGATTACGGAACGTATAACATTCAAATAGATTATTGCAATTTAGACTCAACACCACAAGAATTAAATTTTTCATCAACTTTCATCGACACACCGGCACCGGACTCGCCACCGAACGGTGGTGTATTCCGTTTCGCACCTGAAGACATAGAACGCTACCACCACCAGAATTCGACGTACAATGACAACAGTCTTTGATGCAAGATAAAACGTACTTAGACGATGGTTCGCAAAATTCATTCCTATACAATGCCGATTGCATGAATTTGCTTTCGCCGGACGAGAAATTGTCATTTTCGGAAGAAGAGAACGTAACTACGGACATTGGCCAGCAGGAAGAAATGCAATGCAGATGGATGGATTGTCATTTAGTATTTAGTGATCGGCGGACGCTTGTTGGGCACATTGAAAAGACGCATGTGAAGTGTGGAAAAGCTGAGGAGTACTCGTGCCTGTGGTTAGGATGTCTGAGGAGCAAACGGCCGTTCAATGCGAGGTACAAGCTGCTGATCCACATGCGCGTCCACTCGGGAGACAAGCCGAACAAATGTCCGGTGAGTAGTAATAATAAAATTTCTCTATAATAAACTTATTAATATTTTATTTGATTCAGTCCTTAAACTATTTTCTTCGTGAATTTCTAATTTTATGAGTAGTGAATTACGAAAGTGGTAATTTTTTATTAACTTTGGTCGTTAATATTCGTTTTGAAATTCATAACTGCATATCATGCAATTGCCCTCACTGCAATTCCAAACGTTACTTGTTATTCGTGCGGATGTGATCGTGCATACATCATTCCGCGTACGCAAACATGTGCGCCAGTCCGCCGGGCAGGCATCGTGACCCGTATAAGATAAAAAACGTTTAGCGGAAAAAAATGTTTGAAAAAAATGTAAGCAAAAGAAAAACATATATAATCTTGTTGTAGCAGCGTACACCCTATTTGTGAGCGATGAATGTTTTTTGTTAACCACCTAACGCGAAAGCTCACTTCGATAACTCCCTTGCAACGGCTGTCGCCCATGTGTCGTGACCGTTGACATAACCAAGTGCAAGTGCATTGACCCTTTTCTAATTATTTATATATTAATATTTGTATCGCATTTGCCAGTTTTACGTAGACTTTTGAAAATTTTAAACTAAACGTAAACATATCAATTGAATCTATTTTTTTTATCAGTACTCAGACTATTCATTATCGATATGTACGATAAATTGATTACGAATTTAAAAATCTTGCTAATTTTATTTTTCATACTGATATTCTTCACAAATAAGTTTTTTCAATACCATTCTCGAATATTAGAAGTCATAGGTCATTAGAAGTCATTAATCAATATTAACCTTTTTAATTCTATTTTCCGATAATTAACGAACCCTAAAATCATTTATTTACTAAAAATGTCAAAAAGAACTTAGTAAAGTATCCAATAACGACTTTTATTGCTGTCAACATTATATTTTCAAGAATAAAATAAAAAGTTAACACGAGTATAATTAGAAATAAGTTAGACCTAAAAATTAAAATTATTTTGTTCAATTGACAATAATTTGAAAAATTAAAATAAAACAACATATTATTAAAACTTCGAGCTTTGATAAAAAGATGATGAAAAAATGGTGAATAATGGTAAACTCTCCATTAATAATATTTGATTCAACTTTTCTGTATATTTCTATTTTTTGTCAAAATTATCTTAAACATTTTTATACTTTTCTAATTTATGATGATTTATGTAATATCAATTATTTCCGCACATTGTCTTTTGATACAGTGCTTATTTTACGCAGATTTCTTACGAATTCTTCTGTCGACTAAAAGTTCTATAAATGTCATCTTCGTGAAATTTTTAAATCTAAAAAAAGCGCTGTATCAAAAGACACTAAAGAATGAAATCATTGATATTACATGAATCATCATAAATTGGAAAAGTTTTGAAAGGAATTTTTAAGACAATTTTGACAAATAATGGAAATATAAGGTTGTCAAATATCTCCCTTCCGCCTTTTTGTTTTTTGAATTTCGCGGCTATGTACAAAGCGCTACAGAGCTCGTATCTGGCAATACTGTACATAATTTGAAAGGTCTTGACATAACCTACAAAACGACGCTATGCATGATTAGTTTGGATATTGCGTTCAACAGTTATAATTCAAAAGACAAAAAGGCGGAAGGGAGATATTGACAACCTAATATACTACAGAAATGTTAAATCAAATATTATTAATGGAGAGTTTACTATTATGCATCATTTTATCTTTTCATCAAATAAATATTAGAATTTCACAATATGATATCACTACTGTATTTAACTAGTTTTATAATTATGCCCCTCAGATTTTAAACAATACAGAATCATTACTATTTTGTGTAAATATATAAAAATTAACACCAGGAAGCTTTTCTCTTTTTATAACTATCTATATTGAGGGAATTAACTTATATACTAATATAAAATACTTTTTAATTAAGATACGAATCTTATATAGTTGTAATATTAAATTTGTGTATAGAATTTAGTTAATGATATTTATTTATTTGTTTTCTTACTTTTCAGTTCAATGGTTGCGACAAGGCGTTCTCGAGGCTGGAAAACTTGAAGATTCACCAGCGCTCCCACACTGGCGAGCGTCCGTACGGCTGCCAGTACGCCGGATGCCGGAAGGCCTTCAGCAACAGCTCGGACCGTGCCAAACATCAGAGGACGCACTTTGACACGGTGAGTGGAACACTACACTATGACGATATTATTGATTTACTCATGTCGACTTTATAGTAAAACTGCAGGTGTATAGCATCTTGACTTATGACTGGAAATGCAATATTACAATTTAAATTTGATAATAAAAATTACCCAATAAGCAACAAATCTGACCTTCATTACTTTTGTTACTAAAAAATATTAATTTACTCAAGTTAATTGAACTCTGATTGTTGGAACAAGCTGTGTACAATAAAAAAAAACTCAAGTTAAACGATGTAATACTTTCAATATATGCACTTGACTTTACTGTAATCCTCGAGGTGTTTAGAATATGTCATGGTGCCTTAAGGGGTTAGGGGTACTTGGAATTTTTGAAAAATCGATTTTTATTTTTTTGCATTTTCATTAAGTGTAATATCTTGAAAATGTTCTCTGAAAATTTCAAGTTGATCCGATGATTACATTTTGAGTTATTGGACTCTTACCGGCGCGTTGACGCAATTGGAGAGCTCGATACTGATACTCAAGATTATTCTCTCTCACCTCCTGATGTTTTAAAAGCGTTTAAACCGATTTACGACGATCTCAGCAATGATAATTTACTTTCAAGATGTGTAGTTCAAGATTGAATCCATAATCAGAAAAAATTAAAAGCTTCAACCAACTAGTGTAAAAAATATGCATAAAAACCGTGAATACTAGTTCTACTATCGTACAAATTGCTGAATGCATATACATAATCATTATTATTGATTATGGATACCCTAGGACCTAATTGTGGGTATAATTCCCATTGGTATGCTAAAAAATTGGATGCTGCACGTGTGAAAGTGGCAGATCAGCGCGCCAACGAGAGCACTCGGCGGGCCAGAATGCTTCGTAGGCAACAGCAAATGGAAATTTTGGAAACTTGCACAATGACTGATGAACTATTATATGGCCCAGAAATAGATGACTCGGTTTAAGAAATTCAATAATTCGAATTTCTGTACGTAAATCCAATGTGAAACTTTAAACGCGTTTTTCTCAAAACTATGTTTTTTGAATCGGTGACCACTGTAACTCAAAAACCGCTTAGTAGATTCTAATGAAATTTATACAGCTTTTAGAATACATAATAAACTCGTGCCTGATCGAAGGATTTTTATTTTTTCAAAAATTTGAGATTTTTAAGACCAATAAACTGTTGATTTTTTACCCAAAAATCTAGATTTTTTCTTTCTGATGCTGCCATTTTGTTAATTTTTGCAAAAAAAAGAAAACCTTCGATCCGGCCCGGGATTAACTATTCATAAAACTATTTTTTCAATTTGATTGATTTTAGATGAATCTCCAAGGAGTTATGATGGTCACCGCCAGGACCGTTTTTCGAAACAGGGTCAACAAAAACAGCTATAACTTTGGGAATATTCATTTTTTTTTTCTGAAATTTTTGTTACATCAAGTCAAAACATTGTATAATAATGCTGTATTAATAGTTTTGTAAAAAAACATCGTTTAATAACAGAAAAAAAATACTGAAAACACTCATTTTTTCGTGCCTGCAAGTACCCCTAACCCCTTAAAGCAAATTGTTGGAACTTTAGGATTTGAATGTAAAATTAATATTAGAAAAATTAATTAACAAGCAAGACCTCGCACGGCATGATATCATTTTTTTGTTAACTTCAATATGTTACATCTGCTAAATAACATCTAGTAACACTAGATATATAAATAAAATATAATACAAAATAAAAGACAGCATTTCCATTGAAATGATATCCATATGATAGTAATTTAATTTAAAATAAAAAGCAAACAATGATAATAATAAAATTAATAAATAAAATAAATGAAATTTGTGAATAATAGAAATAATTTGATATGATATCAAATAAAAGAGGAAAGGTGATTTTAAATTTGCAGATAGAAATAAAAAACGAAAAATAATTATGTTATTATCAATCAGATTTTCTTTCAAACAAAATTTTATTTCAAACAAAATGAATTTTTTTCTTAAATAATTTTTTTTGAAAAATCAATATTGGTATTCATATTGTCTACTTCTATGAAATCAAATAATAAAATAATTCCAACATTTCTGTGGGGGCGTTCATTAATCACGTGAGGTTTTTAGGGGGAGGGGGGATTTGACAAAAAATCACGAAAAATCACGTGGGGGAGGGAGGGGTATAGTAAGCTAATATTGTATTTAGTGTATTTATTTTTTACCTGATTTAAAAAAAAATTAAACATTTTCAAAAAAAAATCAAAAATTTTACAGTTTTATCGCGAAACTAAAAATACACGTGATGTTTGGTGGGGGAGGGGGGGTAATTTTGAATTTCATCATGAATCACCAAGGGGGAGGGGGGGTTCAAAAATCCTTAAAAACTCGCTCACGTGATTAATGGACGCCCCCTGTTCAATATGAATTTGAACTTCATAAAATAATATTAATCTCTTTAATGTCTTTCTATATGATTTGAACTAGAATATATATATATATATATATATATATATATATATGTGTGTGTGTGTGTATGATCTTAAAGGCATAGCATCAATTCTGGAAAAGGCTTAAAAAAGTCTTAATTTTGTCATACGTATTGCCATATGAATTTATGTCACCATCAGTTTATATGGAAAAATTGAAGAACAGACATAAAATAATTCAACAATTAATATTATTAACATATTTTTTGAAATATAACATATGCTTTATGTGCTTTAAAATATTTTTTTACACTTTATACCTTTTAAGAGTTATATATTTCAATATCAAAATTAACTATTCATAACAAATATGATTCTGTTTTGGAAATCTAATCTTACTCAAATTTTTATGATTTTAATATTATGTAAATAGCATAATAGAAACCAGAAAACTAGAATAATGATAACAAATCTGAAAACGACAAACAATTTTATATATGAATGCAATGGCAGTTCTTTAAATATAGCGAAAGCAATGAGCCTTTACTCAATTCAATATGTGATTGATAGAATGCTCTTTAAATGGTGCATTAAAATTCTATAAGTTCTAAAAAGAGATTATATAGGTGAAGAAAATTAAAATATAATTAATGAAAATGATCTAAAAATGATAAAATGTAGCCAAAATCAAATTCCTTGCAATCTCAATTATTAAATTATTAATAAACGTGTATCAATAGCGCGTATTATAAAAGTTAGCACGTGCTGTTTGTTTAGTATTAATGAAATATAAGCTTCTTTCGATTCCTATCATTATATTCGTATCGTCGTGTATTCAGTACTTCTGTTTATTCAAGCTTTATTAATATTTAGTGAGAAAGCTAACATTGAAAAATATTTTGAATCAGGCAATTTAATTAATTATAATCAACTTGGAGAATTTTGCAATTGTTTAAATCATAATTTAACAAGTGCGATTTTTAAAATTACTTTATTTCTAAGATACATTTACAACTGTTCACATATAACAAAGGATATTCAGTAAATCTATTGGCTGTAAAAATGTAGAGTTTCATACTGAAAATATATGTAGGTGCTAAAAAAATGCACAAATGCATTTACATAGGTAATTACATATGAACTAAACTCAAAAATATTTTTTTAATATTGCAGTTAAATTTAAGGGTAGAAAGAAATATAAAAAAGTAATTTTATCGTTATATTTACTATACCATTAGTTTAACTTTGCCTGCAACGCTCTCGATTTTCCATTACAAATACTTTACTTCCATATAGTCGCAAACTTGAAAATTACGCGCGACAGCCGAATAAATAAAAAAGTGCTTGAATGGGTTTTGGGATAAGGGGCTGTTATGTTTATGGGCTTCAGTTATTTATAATGTTCCTCGTCTTAAAGATAAGAAGGCATTTAATTGATGGCTGCCACTTGACGTTTGATATCCATGTGCTTGTGACATATTAATATACAGGAGTCGATAACTACTCGACATTTATTATTTACCCGTTTGACCCGAAACTATATTATGCAGAAAACTTTCCTGGCGCTATCCGACTCGATAAAGCTTCGTAATCAAAGGGAAAATATAAGATAATAGACAACTATTAAATTAAAGCAATAATTAACCCTTAAAAATAAAATAAAGTTTAGAAATGTGAAATTTTTAATACCAAGCATCTAATGTAAGGGTTGTTGTGTGTTATACAACCAGTGGTTTCAGAAATTTGCTTTAACTCATACTAATATATAGAACCAGTTGCTTTTATTAAGTCAATCTGTATACACAATAGTTAAAACATAAACATCAAAATCAATATTTTTTCTTTAATTTTCAGAAACCCTATGCGTGTCAGGTACCCGGTTGCAGCAAAAGATACACCGACCCTTCGAGTCTCCGCAAACACGCCAAGTTGCACGGTCTCAGGTCAGCTTCAACCTCCAACGACTCCGTCCCCGTCGAACAGAAGAAAATTCAACCCTCGCCTGATGATTTTATCCCAAAACCTTATATGGAAAATAATCTTGAAAGTACCAGCTTAGATATTTTAGATGCACTCGACATGGATGATGTTTCCAATTGCCTATTTACCATTGAACAAGAACAGGAGGAATATGTTCCTTTCGATTCCGTGAGACACTTATTAGATGAACATATTGGTTTTCTCGATAATGCACTGGATTACGATGAAGCTATACTTTGATACGTGATATAATAGTATCAGATTTAAATTATAAGTTAAAGTTTGAAGCTGGTGATGAGAATTTAGTAAACAATGATCGTTTTGTTTCGAACAAATAAAATTCAGCCTACTTCTGGTGATCGTATTTCGAAAACTAAAAACTTCTAGATGCACTCAAACGACCTATATGACGTTTCCACTGGATTACGATAAAGAAATACTTTGATATGTGATATGATATTATCAAAATCAAAGTATAGGTTATAGCTTAATTCTGGTGATGAGAATTATTTTCGTTTTCTTTCCAATAATTTTGTAAAAGGACGTGTCTCACTTATAAATTCATATCGCCTCAACTGCACGTCTAATATAACTCCCAAGTGTTTATTACAATGGTACACTTAAATATTTGAAAAGCTCGAAAAGTTTTAGCTTAATTATGCATATTCTCCTATATAAATAGAAATATGAACATATTTGAACCAAAAGAACCAAATATTTGATTAGATCGTATAGTTTCGAAGTTTTAATTATTTAAATGTAAATATTTTTAGAATAATGCTTTCTAGTTATCGTTCCGAATACGTGCAATTTTTTACGTACTTAGTTACTGTTACCAAATATTACTTAATTATGTTTTGTTACTTGTTTTGGAAAATATCATAAATATTTTATATAGAGAATAAAAATATGTGTGATAAAAAAAATGATGCGACCAAATTTCCATACAATCAATGACTTATTGTTAGAGTTATATTATATTAGTACTGAGTTTATTTTAAATGATGCATTTATTTCGAAATAAGTTTTATTAATAGTTGTTGAATCTTCCATTTATATAAAAATCGTGATAAGTACTTAAGATTTTGTAAATAGGCTGTATATATTATATATATATAAAATATATTTTTATAGTTCTAAAATATTGGAGATATATAAATTGAATATATATATATATATATATATATATATATATATATATATAAGATTCGTTATAATTTATAGTTTATAGTTTAACATTAAATTTCTGCCAAAAATACATTAACTTTACAAGTAAACTAAAGTAAAATTTAAATCTAAATAATTTAAATCGTAATCAAAATAGATATTTGTAAAATAATGCAAATAAACACTTACGAATAAGGATAATGGTGTAATATTCTATATTATATACAGTGGTGGAAATACGCATAATCTTATATATGAAGGGCAGAAGTCAATTTTCCCGGTATGTTGTTAAGTTGTAAAAGCCGCCCTTTTGTAATAAAAATTATTCAACTCACACATAAAATATGTTCCGAGATGTTGAATAGAGCAATGTTGATCTATATAGTGCCTATAATAATATTTGACTTGATATTGTTATCCCTTGGTCGTTTAAATAATAAATAAAGTAATGGCGGAATGCAACGTCATAAGGGGATGCTGGGAAAAAATGTCACAATATTAAAAGTTTTCTTTATTAGTTTATTAATTTTCTTTTAATTAAATATGTAAAATCAATCGACCTGTACTTGTGTTATCTTCATTTGCATCAAACTTAATTTTTATTACCTTATTAATAACTTAAATATTTGCGTTTTTAGGCACCGGACTAATTATTTGTTAATTATGTTCAGTTCTATTAAATAATTCTGTTTACAAAATTTCTAAACTAAAAAAAAATATATTTTGTAAGGACTTAATACAAACAGATTAATACCGCTAAGGTGTAAACCTGATTTTCTTTATAGTTCGTCGTTTCAGTAGTAATGAAATGTAGATTTTCTCTTTGTTTTTATTCACTAATTAACTTTCCCTAGATTAACATGGTAATGACCGTTTGCCCACCAATGGGTCATTCCGCAGCAAAATTTCAGCCGTGGGCACTTTAATTGAAATAAATCTGGGGGTTACATAATGCCTACCTCAAATTATTAGGTTTTCAAATATCTCCCTTCCGCTTTTTTGCTCTTGGTTTATAATACAAAAAGGCGGAAGGGAGATATTTGACAACCTATTATTTCACACATACAACATACCTGAAAAATAACGTACTAAATTAACAACGAAGAAAAATGTCGCTCCGTATGTGTAAAAATGAAGGAAATAGTGGGAAATGTTTTCTTTTTTAGTATTTAGGTTTCAGGCTCCTCCGATGTTTTTTGCTTATTCTCAGAAATTGTATGAGTGTATGTGTGTATTTTTGGATGAAATTTTTCGCGTATGTTTTTGAGAGCTTGGATCAATCTTTTTGATATATATTACTGTGAAAACTGCATTAATTTTGCAGGCAAATTAATGTAGCAGTAAATATAAACGTACCAGCAATGATTTCTGGTTTTCAAATGTTTATAATTTTGAATGTTACTTGCTATTTTCGAATGTTTGTTTATTAACTTCCCGTAGGGTAAGTTATTGTAATGGGCCGAAAATCGGAATTGAAAATTTTTACATTTCTCGACGTTTTGAAGGTTTCTGAACATTTTGGCATACCTCAGAAAAAATGGATGTGTGTGTGTGTATGTATGTATGGATACAAATTTTCGCCCACGTTTTCGGGCGTACGGATCAACCGATTTGAATGGTTTAAAAAACCTTCGATTCCTATTGATAAGGAGATGTGCTGATTAGTTTTTGGCAAAGGCAGGTCCTGTAGTTACGGAGATAAGGAGCAAAGAGTGCAGAAAATAGAAATCGAGTTTTTGAGAGAACGGAGCATCCGATTTGAATGATCTAAAAAACATTCAATTAGTAATGATAGGGAGAAAGGGTTATTAGTTTTTCGCAAAGGCAGGCCCAGCCATTTCGGAGATACAGAGCTAAATGTACAAAAAATGGCAGTTTTTGAGAGAACTAAGCGTCCGATTCAATTGATTCAAAAAACTTTCTGCTTGTCTTAACAAAATAATTGATTTTGAAAAATAAAATTTTTTGTTCATTTTTTTTTTTTTTTTTAAATTTTTTGTATATCGAAAATAATTCAGATTTTATTTTTAATTCTGACTATAGTTCTAATATATGTACTTTAAACAAATAATTTCAACTCTGCAATTCAGTTTATATAATTCTTATAAATATTAGACAATGTTACAATATTTATAATAATCTATTTGAAAACATTCAATATTCCTCGAACATTTTGTTACGGTACGGGAAGTTCCAGCAATTTGCCTTAAGGCACGATGCCACCCACCCCACTAGTTGATATTTTTTAATCGTTCCATTAATTAGTCTCAAGGGCCAACGTAACGCTACGCATCACTATTTAGAAAGCTTTCCTCGTTCATTTACTCATCATTACGTTTGACATGAACATCTCATTCTCATTCGAGTCATTCATTTTCCCCTGGGGCTCCCTGTGCCTGTGAGCTGTGACCGGAGACGAGCCGGAGCGTCTCTCCCGCCGCTATCGTAAGAGATCGTCCCGCGATCTGAAGCGGCACCTCTGCCGCCTCTGCTGCCTCCCGCTTCCCGTTACGCATTACGCCATGTTTGTTACGTCATCGAGTAGACCGCCGTCGGATGGTCGTGGCGGGCATGCGCCAACCGCGCCATCCCAGCTCCCGGGAAGTAGCATCCAAGTAGCACCCTCGCGGACCTCGAGTCAGTCCGGCGAAGTACACCGATGTCTGAAAACGTAGCACATTTCCGCGTAGCACGCTGCGATCGACAAACGCGGGAATTCTAAATCGGCGACGGACAGCCGAAACGAACTATCTGGCGTTCGGATTACGTTTCGATTGATTCATTTGTGATTGACGTGTTCAGATCGAAAATAAATGTGTATTTGTGTCGCAGATGGCATGATGGAAAGGTCGTACTCGGCACGTAGGATGCATTGAAGTAAGTCCCATTTATTAAGCTCACGGGAGATAATGGGTACGGGTCATGAGAGAGCGAACAGTGAGATAACGTCTTAGGGAAGCGACGATGATGCGCTCACGCTGCTCACCTTCAAACTATTTAAATACAAAGTCTAGGTGGATATTCATGTGATATTCAACAAACCCACGTACATAAAGTCCACTTATTCATAGGCTTTATTAAGTATTTTAAATATCGACTGTAATTTAACAAAAATTACATCCATGATTTAACAATTTATTTGTGTTTTATAAATGTAAATAAGTGTGCATAGATGTCTTGCACCTGCATATGCAAAATCGTGCTACATCCTAAATAATATTACGTAATATATTATATTTTATTAATATATATATATATATATATGCGAGTGTGTGTGTGTGTTAAGAATATTTGATTTTAATGTTGAAATGTATGAATTAAAACTCGGAGAGCTTCAAGTAAAATTTAGAAGGGCAAGATTTTAAAGCATCTTAATTATTTCAGGCGTTACGACATGAAATTCAAATTCATCATGGGTAGATATGAAAACAATTTGAAAACTTGCATGTAAAACTACAACTGTCAGTTATAAATATTTAAATAATTCTGTTTTGTGAACACATTCAACTTATTGTAAGGCAAATCGGAATCTCTATTTCATATCAACATATAATGAAATATAATTTAATGTTGAAATGTCTGGAATAATAAGAATCATTTAAATCCTTCTTTTTTGACTCGATATATTACACCCTCCGAATTGATATATATATATATTAAAGGTATTATCACTGAAAAAAATGTTATCTAAATGGAAATATAAACACACTTCACTCTTTTTTAACTATTTAACTATTTATTAAATAATATTAAAATTATAAACATTTCGAAACTAAAGTTTGTCTCGTCTCTAGTGTAAATACAAATAAATGAAATGTGTTCATATTTCCAAAGATCATATTTAACAAAATTAGTGATTGAGTCAATTCTTTTTTCAAATACATATTGTATTTAAGAAATAACGATCGGTAAAACAATAAATTAAATCTTCGCTTCAATTCCAAATTCTGACGTCAGCACTGTTACTAAAAACTTCACTTTTGAATAGAATTGCAGTGGTAGCATGCAGTCTTGACTGCAATTTATTGTATTTTAACTATGACAAAATGGATTTATATGTATTTTGTTTAATC